AAGTCCCAGGTATTTTGGAGGCCGTTTTGTACAACTGACTCATTTACTCAGCCCGTGCGTTCATTATGCTATTTTCTCTACTTGTGTGTATGTTTGAAATTCTCCAGAGTCAAAAGGTTTTAAAATAATACTTAAAAATATATCCAAAAGAACTGAAAACAGGATCTCAAAGAGACATTTGTACACCCACATTCATTGCATCATTATCACAATATCCAAGAGGTAGAAGTAACCTAAATGTCCACTGATAGATGATTGGATAAAGAAAATGCAATATATATATACACACACACACATATATATTTGCTCCAGCCTTAAAAGAAGGAAATCCTTTCATATGCTACACCATGGATGAAGCTTGAGGACATCATGCTAAGTGAAACAAGCCAGTCCCCAAAAGCCAGCTATGATTCCACTTGCTAAAGGTATCTAGAATAGGCAAACTCACAGAAACAGAAAGCAGAATGGCGGTTGCCAGGGGCCCGGGCTGTGGAACGGGGAGTTGTTTCACGGGTATAGAGTTTCAGTTCTACAAGATGAAAAAATTCTAGAGATCCCTTGCACGGCCATGTGAATGTAGTTAACACTACACTGTACGCTTAAAATGGTTACAAATCCTAAAAATCAAAACCCTACCTTTTTAAAGGGCTGGGGGCTCTGAGAGGCGGCCGGGAGTTAGGAGACAAAGGCAGATATGCTGTTTGTCCCCTACAGGAGAAAAACTTGTTTACCTAGCACAATGCTGCCCCCTCCTCACCACCGCCATCCACACTGTCCCTTGTGCCCTGCTCGGCGGGACTGGAAATAGTATAAAAACAAAGTAAAAGAAGGCGGCGACCTCGTGGTAAAGGTGGGACTCGCATAGAAAGGCGAAGAAGGATGCACAGCACTGCCTGGCTCAGAGGAGAAACTCGTTGCTGTGGGGAAGCAAAGGGAAGCTGACAGCTGAGAGCCCGCTCCGGCCTGAGCCGCTCAGCAGCCCATCTTCCGTTACTGCAACCTCAGGTAGCGCGGGCAGGTGGGCAGCCATCGGCCACCAGCGCCGCTCAGAGATCTTTAGTTATGCCTCGGGGGCTGGAAACCGGGCGAAGCCTGGCGCTGCACCCCGGAGGGCTCCCCTCCGCTGTTAGCCTGGGAACTATATCGTTTCTTCTAAATCATCCCATCTCAGCCGACCGAGCAGCCTGGTTCGCGCCCGGTCTGCACGGCGGTCGGTTTCCCCCAGGTTGGACACACAATAGGAAAGACCCGGCAACGGTCAGGACAAACGTGCAGCTCCAAGTACCGCTGTTTCTAGCACATTCTCCCCCGAGTCTCGGCCCTTCCGCAAGTCCGAGTGTAATCCACCTGAAACTAGTCGGTGGCTTTCCGAAACCAGAGCAAGTCAGCGAAGTCCCCGTTTCGATCTAGGACCTTCTGCATCGAGTCACGCAGCACATCGGGGGAGTTCTCTCGCACCCGAGGCCACCAAGGAAGAGTCCAGGCCGCCCGGCCGGGGGACGCCATGTGAACACTCCCCAGCCCGAGCGGGGCACCGGCCTGCACCGAAGACATCACCCGAGGGGCAATCGTCGCGGCCCATCGGGAGGCAGCAGAAGCCCGCTGGGCACGGTCCCCACGTCACTCCCCACCCAGCGGGGCTGCTTCGGGGACTTCATCTGGGCGCGGGCCTGGGACTGAAGGGTGGCCCGCGTCGGAGTCACCCGTAGAAAAAGCCGGCTCCCCCTCCCCTGCTACACACGCGCCTCAACCCACCCTCAGACCCCTGCCCTCCGAGGACAGGCTCATACTCAGGTCCCGGGGATGGGGACACTCGAGCAAAAGGCACAGGCGGGCACGGCCTGGGGGGCTCGGCAGCTCACCGGGCAAAGCGGTCGCCCTCCGGCGCGGTTCGGGCCGCCGCTGGCGGAGCCTCCCGGGCGTCTCTCGCTGGGCTTGGCAGGGGTGGCGGGCTCAGCGCCACATCCGGGCAGCGAACGAGTCCCACCCCGTCGTCGGACGCGGTCACCGCTCTGCGCCCCGACACCTCCTGGGAAGTGGAGTTCTGGGGCCGGCCTGGTCGTCGGCGCGTCGCAGGGTCCTAAAGGACAGCGACCGGTGACCGGTGACAGGTGATCGGGGACTGGCTAGATTCTGACCCCGGTACGAGTTGCGTGGGCGGGGATCCCCAGGCCTCACCCTTCCCGTGGCGGAGTCGGGCCGCCCCCGCCCCCAGACCCCTGTCCCCTCAGGGCCACCGGTAACAGAAAGAGGCAGCCTGGGAACTGAGAAAGTGTTGGGAATAATGGAGGCGATAGAAGGAAACGGGGTAAGTGAGCAAATTACGGTTGCTCTCAGTCACCACGTGCTAGCGGGCATTTTCTAGAGTTTTATATAAAAGGAATCACATAGGATGCACTTTTTAAAACACCAGTATCGACATATACATTCATATACCATGAAATTCACCCTTTCGAATTGTACAATTCAATCGGTTTGAGTATTTATTTTTAAAGGTTGTGGTAAATATCTATAACGATACTTGCCATTTTTACCGTTTTTAAGTGTACAGTTAATTCAGTGACATGAAGTATATTCGCAGTGACGTGGAACCATCACCATTGTCTATTTCTAAAATGCGGTCATCACTCCAAGCAGAGATTCTGTGCCCATTAAGCAATACCTCCCCATTGCCTCCTTCCCACAGCCCCCGGAAACCGATCTTTAAGCTACTTTCTGTCTCCGTGAATTTGAGTTTTCTAACTACCACTGGTCTATTCGTAGACGTTGGCCTTCGTTGCCAACTTTTGACGATAGTGAGTGATGCTGCAATGACCGTTAGTGACAAGAATCTGCTTTTGCTGATTTTCTCTGTTGTTTTTGTTGTCTTTTTCACTGCTTTCTATTTCGATTTTCACTGTTTTTCTTCTTAAACTTAAAGTTGTATTGGCTCTTCTTTTTACTGAAGTGAGAGCTGAAGTTCTAATATGGGTGTTTAGTGCTTAAAAATTACCCCCTAGAAAAATTAGCCCCTAACTATTGCTTTAGCAGAATGCCAAAAATTATGTTACACTTTCGTTTGCATTCAGTTAAAAATATTTTCTAACGACTCTTTTGATTTTTTCTTTGACCCATGGGTTATCTAGAAATGGATTATTCTGTTTTCAAGTATTTGCGGATTTTTCAGAGCTCTTTCTGTTATTGATATGTCATTTCATTCCATTATTTTCAGAGAGTACATTTTGTATGACTTGAATCCTTTCAGATTCGTTGAGACTTGTTTCGTGACCTGGAATACAGTCTATTCTGGTAAATATACCCAATGTGCACTTGACGAGAATGTGCATTTCGCTGTAATTGGGTGGAGTAAATGCGGGAGGAGGCATGAGAACTAAATGTTAAATCGAGCTGTATTCAGAGCCTGCAACGTGCTGATCAGCTCCACAGCCAGGCCACGAGGAAACCTACAGAACAAAGGAAGGGTCCTGCTGGGATTGCTAACAAACCATTTACCCACACCGTGAAGGGGAAACAGAGTCCTTAACTTGTACCCTACATTCATTCCCTCCGGCCAAAACCATGGGGAACCTATGGAACAAAGGCTGGGGATTACTAGCATGCTTTTAACACGACATAATGCTACAGGCGAAACGTCACACTGCACATCCATACCATCAAAGGCTATGCAAAATCTTTAAACTGTAATTCAGAGAAACTAAGAATGATCTATAACCTGAATTCCTGGAATGCTTGGGGTCTCTTCTCTCTGTCTTTCTCTCCTGCTCTCTGTCCCTCTCAGCTCTCTGCCTTTGCGAGGAGACCACGCTCTGTCTGTGGAGCGTTATTCCTTTCCTAATTTTATGTTGTGTATATTTTGCTATAAACTACAAAAATAAAAAGAAAGTCAAAAACTAAAGGAGAAACTCAGAAAATATATTTCGACCCATATGATAAAGGCCTGATTTTCTTAGTATACAAAACGCTTTTACAAAGCAATAAGAAAAAGATAAATAGAAACAGAAAACTAGGACACAAGCAAAGGACACGAGCAGTATATACACACACTCCATCCCAAGGAAATACATGTGACTTAAGCATGCTAGAAAGAAGCTTAACCTGACGATAAAAAGTTTGTGTTAAAAATATAATGAGATACCACTCTTTTCCTATAAAAATGAGAATATCAGAAAGTTTGACAAGATATTGTTTTGGCAAGGGTGTGGAGAAACAGGCACTCTCATATTTTGTTGTTTTGTTGTAGGCGAGTATAACCTTTGGAAGGCAAGTTATCAAAAAAATATTTTAAGTACATATGCCTTTTTTTATGGGCACGTGACAGAAAACCCAACTCCAATAGGCTTAAACAATAAAGAGGATTTATTGGTTCCTACAACTGCAGACTCCAGGGGATGAGTAGGCTTTGCAATTGGTTTGAATCTATGGATGAACAAGATCACCAAAGACCTAATTTTCTTCTATCTGTCAGTTCAGCCTTCCACAATGTGAGCTTTATCGTAAATTTGACTTCCTTCTTGGTAGCAAAAGGGCTGCAGCTTTGAAGGCTTTACATCAGCCACACCACACTGTCCAAAAGAAGAGACAAAACCGGCTTCCGTTACCTCTCTCAGAAGAGCAAAACACCAAAACCAAAACAAACCAAAAACCTTCTTCCTCCAAATACTTCCACAAACATCCCCTAACATTTCATTAACTTGAATTGGGTCAACAATCTCAATGACAGGACAATGCTATGCACTGATTGGCTGAGGCCTGGGTTGCCTCAGCCAATCACTGAGGCTCAGGGGATGGGCTTACCCTGATTGGGTTACGTGGACAGTGCACCCCGCCAAAAGCTGGGGATGAGATCGATTCCGCCAGTTCAAACTTTCTGACTGCTAAACAATGGGAATGACAGGAATGGATGTTGGACAGGGAACCACATCAGCTACAATATACTTTGATCCGGCAACCATAACTCTAAGAATTTATCCTACAAATATACTGGTACATGTACACAAATAAGTGTATTTGCGGAGACTGTAATAACAGGATACTGGAAACGGCCGAAATGGCTGGGACTGGTTAAATAAATTATGATGCAGCCAAAAGAAAACGTAAGGCAGCTGTAAATGTATCGATATGACACGATCTCAAAGAGATATTAAGTGAAAAAAGCAAAGTGAACAGCCTGCTACCATTTGTGGGGAGTCACTTATGGACACGTGAAATCGTATAACAAGGAACAAGGATATTTGTGTGCTTGGCAACAATGTAAGAAGTTGAGATTGTAAAGCGCTGGGAAAAACCGGGAGGTAACTGTTCACATAGCAATCACTGCACATTCCTTGCTACAGCTTAGCAGAGAGTTCTGAGTTGTGAGAATCTCATTGTTCTACTAGATAAGTAAGTAATCCGGCTAACCTTGGTTCTTGGCTACTGTCTTTCTTATCGTAATGCTATAAGTAATGTGTTCTAAATAAACTCAGGGACACAGCTTGAATCTGTGCTCCCTCCTGCAATTCTGTCTGTCTTCTTTCTTTTCCTCAGTCCATGCTCCCCCTTTCAGGTACCCTCAATTACTTCGTCAGCTGGCTTCCGACACCATTTGTGACAAAAAGGGAAAAGAGATGGATATACAGATATATATTTAAGTGAAAAAAAGAAAACTTCCATTTTCATCAGTAAACCAGACCAGATCAACAGAGATACCCAAAAAACATGTGCACACACATATATACACACATTTAAACTTGCACATGCATGATTTGTATAGAATGCATCTGGAAGTTACATGACAACCTGACAACAGTCCTGGTTTCTGGAAAGGGAACCAGGGGAATGAGGGAATAGGAGTGGAATAGCATATAACTTTCACTATATATCTTTTTATACTGCTTGAAAATTTTTTACCATATACAAATATTTTTAGTTAAAAAATATCTATTAATTACAGGTTTCTAGTTTTTACCTGTTAGGTTGTCAGAGCTAAAATATTTGTTAATAGTCAACAAGAATGTTGAGAAGCAGACCCTTATATATCGTGGGCGGTTGTATAAAGTAACACGCCCTCTTTGGAAAGCAATTTGGCGATATCTATTTAAACTAATAATGCACCTAATCTTTCACCTAGCACTTATACATCTAGGATTTTATCCTACTGATATACTTATACACATTGGCAAAGATGAATATATAGCGCAGTAGTGTTTGCAGTAACAAGAGACTGAAAACTATTTCAATATCCATCAGTAGAGGATTCGTTAACTAAATTGTGTGTGTGTGTGTGTGTGTATATATATATATATATATATATAAAACAAGTTAATTTTTTTTTTTTAGAATTCTACACAGCAACGAAAAAGAACAAACTACTGATAATTCAACATTTATGTGAAATTCGAATGCAGGTAAAATTGACCTCTGACGATCGAAGGTATCGAAGTCAGAATGTGGTTGATCTCGGGGCGGGTAATGACTGAGAGGGGGCACAAGGAACAGCCTTTTGTGGGGCTAGGCACGTTCTGTGTTTTGACCTGGGGGGGAGGTCGCAGAGATGTACACATACGTAAAAAGGTCCCCTTAAGATTCGTGCATTTCACCCTATGCAAGTTATACGTCGATCAATGAAAAAAGAAAAGGAATAATGTAGATTATGGAGTGATATGGACCGAATTTCAAGAGAGATGTTTAAGTGTGTGTGGATATATAAATACATCTCCACCCACCCCCACCACACACATCTGGGGCGCCCCCCAGAGAGTAGAGGAAACAATGGATGACCGAAACTCTGCTGGGTGAGTGCTGGAGCAGACCTGCTCTGAACTCATCTGATCCCTGGTGGCCTGTGGCCTAAGTTTTCAAGGCCCCCTGCTTACCGGTGATGTCTAATTGGCGTTCTGGGGGAAAATAAGAGAAAATGGATGAGCAGCAGTATTTGAAGAGAACGTAGCTGAGAATTCATTAAAGATGATGCCAAAATTCTTCAAAATTCAGGAATCCCAAACAGGAAAAAGAAAACAAAGAAAGAAATCCCGGCCCAGACACATTGTAGTGAAACTTCAGAACATCAAAGAGAAGATCTTAAAGGGAGCGAGAGACTCTGTGTCTATATACAGAAGTCTACAAGCTGCCCAGGATATATCCTTGCTGCCGGAAAGAGGAAAAAATAGGACCTGAATCT